CAGCTCCAGCTGCAGTAGGAGCGCATTTTTAATTCAGACTGAGGTTAAAGAGGCGCTCTCACCTCAGGATCTCCGGCTGGTGAAGGACCAGTCTGGAGACGTCAGCTGCTTCAATCCAGTCAGAGGAGCCTGGAGAGTTTCTGGCTTTCACGTAGAGTCCATGGGGACGACGGAGGATCAGTCACTTAGCTCCTCAAAGAGGTGACGTTCTGTACGTAAATCACAGCTGGACCGAGCCAAAATGATTAAATACTCGTTTCTGTACAAGAGAAGGTCCAACATCAGACCACATGATCTTCACTGATTCGTCTGAACACAAATCTTAGTGAACATTTGTTCAATCTTCACTTCAACAGTCGGAATAATATATAAAATGTTCTTTGCTGCTACGTTAGTCAGGTTATGGTGATTTGAAGACTCGCTCCATGTTTTTCCTGAAGTGACGTCCTGTTTCTCCTCAGTGAGAGCAGCCGGTCAAGTGATCCAGAACCCTCCTGGGTCCTTCGGCTTGTTCGAGGCGCAAGCTGCTGGATCAATCCAGGACTCACCGAATGAATAATTCTGTTTCTGCTTGTTGTTCTGGGAGCAGGTGGGGATTCACCAGAAAAAGCCGGATAGATGCATGTTTAACTGGACTGATGATGGATGTAAGTTTAATTCAAGTAAAATGGAAAGTTAACAACAACAAAAAAAGGTGCCAACGCAGAACTAAAGCACCCTCATCATCGTCGGCTTGCTGTTTTTCAGACAATTTCTGAATAATCATCTCCTCCTGCAGCTATGCAGGAACCCAGACAGAAAGACACTGAAGCGTGCAGACTGGTGGGCTGTTGTGTGCAGCGACTTTACGTCCTCCAGCATGGGAGCTAAATGGATCGATCGAAGCCGGCACTCGGAGCTCAGGCAGACTTCAGAATAAAAGCATAGTTTTAAGTTTAAACGGGCACAGAGAGTTGGGTTTCACTTGACTGAAAGTTTAGGTTTGATGACCATTTGAAACTTTAAGTGTGAGGACGTACACATTTTAGAGCTGACCAAACTTTCCATATATTTTGCAAATGCTGTCTGTTTTACCAACTTCTCAGACGGTATCAAAACCTTGGTATTTATTTCCTCCTCTGTCCCTCGCCGACGGCTGCAGGACTGATGGTTCTCTAGCTCTGAGTCTGATCAAACTTTCAAAAAGACGCTCAGAATCACTTCTTAAGGGCTTCAACGAGCGACAACGAGAGCGGTGAGCATGCTCATAGACGCTCTCGAGGGCACTGTAAGAGTTCTGATAAGGATGGAATAATCAGCCAGTTTCCTCTGGTGAGATCCGTGAACATTCTCGAGGGATGTCAGGGAACGGCCAAGTATAACGTCTATGAGAATCCAAGAGTCCTGAAATGATGACACAAAGTTCATTCAGCTGGTTTCATCTGGTTATCAGTTGGAAATTCCTCAGGGAGGGGGTGGTGAGCATCAGATCACATGTTCTCCAGGCAAATTCAGATAAGATGACCTTCAAGGCCAGCCAAGGGAGCCAAATTCAGATAAACACACAGTTGTTTTGGGGACAGGCAGAACTTAATGACATCTACCTTGAGTCTGTGTTGGTCCACTCAGTTACAAAATGTCCAAATTACATGGCCACACCGATGGAACGTGACTGAGTAAAATCCCCAAGATCCGATCCATTCAGCCCAAAGCATTTGAGTCTGGGTACTCGAGACACGAACCAAGCCATCAAAAAGGCAAGCAGCGTGATCAGGTCCAAATTTGCTGCCGACGACTTCCTTGATTGTTGATAAAACCAGCACCAGCTGAATCCAAAAAGCAGGAACCAGTTTTCGTAAATCCCATTGAATACGCGTCCTTAAAATCCACAGATGGCAGCAGAGATAGACACATCATCAAGTCTTCAAGTCGATGAGATATACAGCTGTGTGCGTGCCAACAGGGCAAATCGGTTCACCTAAAGCCTGTCTTCTCTTTGAAGAAATGTTGTCAATTGTGTTGAGGGACCAACCGATCAAAACAAGTCCACAATTATAGTTCGGAAGATGCAAGAGAGGCTCACAAGCAGTTTCACAGACAGACAGAGCAGCAAAGCAAAGCGGAGAGGGAGGGGAAAAGCATCCGATCTCGGCGAGAGCAAGTGGTGAATGATTGAGCTTGGTTATTTAAGGTCGACACTTTTGTTTTAGCTGTTTATGATTTTTCTTCTGAGTTAATTTGATTGAGCCTTTTCTGCTTGGATAAGGCATGGATCATTTTCTGTCCGCTGACAGCTGATGAACATGAGCTTTTAGCTTCATCCGGTAAAACAAACATCATGGATTGTCCCACATTATTTAAACAAACACTAATCCTGAACAGGAACGGTCGCATATGTTTAGTTCGGCACGCTGGCCGAGTAATTGAACACGAGACGTCCACTGAAGCACGCAGCTCATCCATCCATCTGAATCTATCAGAGCTTCAGGGTTTTAGATCTTTGGGAATGCAGTAAATATTAGCAGGACTTGCTGTTTTAAGCTGGTGCAAGCAGGAGTGTTAGTTTGTTTTTGTACCCGTGACCCCTGGAGCTGCTGATGCTCTACAAGACGAAGGGTCAGAGGTCGCAGAAGAAGCTTCTTCTCAGTCGTGTTGATTGGAACTGTCAGCTCCCTGGAGATGAACAGTTTTTTTTTCCCTGATCCTCCTACGGGAACTGTTAAATCTCTTCAAATAACTTCAGTTTTGGGTCCATCTGCAGTCGTCCTCCTGGGACTTCCTGTCCAGGGGGACATTTCCTCTGCTCTGAGTGAACACTCCAAAGGTGTTTGTTGTTAACAATCGGTGAACCATCTCTCATCAAGGAGAAACTACGTGCTGAGCAGATGTCAGGGTCCGTTAAATGTTTTTCCTTCAAACCCATCAGGGGCGAGGGACACCCTGGACAGGTCGCATGTCCATCACAGGAACTCATGGAGACGAATGAGACGATCATTCACGCTCTCACTCACACCTTGGGACAGTTTCGAGTTAAACCTAACATGCATGTTTTTGGTCTGTGGGAGGAAACCCATGCATGCATGAAGAGAACATACAAACTCCACCCAGAAAGACCAGGAGTTGATCCTGCAACCTTCTTGCTGTAAGGCAACAAGGCTAACCACTGCGCTGCCGTGCAAAATGTGCATAATGGTCTGGATTTTTGTGTTTGTTCTGCTTCAATGGTATTGGATGGGTTCCCTTTTCTAGCATTCACACTATCTGGCTGAACAACCTGGGGTTGCATTTCCTCTTGCGTCCACAGCCTGGGAGGCTGGCCACAGCCCCGTGAACCTTCTACTTTTTAACAATGTGCTCAGAGGGACTTGGAGATGGTCTTTACCTTTAACACAGACATCTATAATCTTGTTCTTGAGCTCCTCAGACAGCTGTGTTCAGTGTGGTGCACACATCAACGCTGCGCTACAGTGTCATGTTTGTTTCCTTTAACATTTGAAAGCTTCTATGAGCTTAAAACAAGTCAAACACATGACTGTACTGCAAAGATTAATTGCCTCTTTAAGCGTACCAACAAATTTGTCTGTATTATTTTAGTTGATCTTGGTAAAATAAACAAAAGCTTTCTTTTTCACATTTTTAGTTTACTCTTATCCTAAAGGCATGCATGTATATATGGACTGTAAATGAACTGTACTTATATAGCGCCTTTCTATCTTATCCAGATACTCAAAGCGCTTTACAACACAATCCGTGTCCTCATTTATCCATTCATACAGCACTCTACTAGATCTCTACAAAGCTAATTGAACAAATCATTCTAAAGAGACTAATTGGTATAAAGTTAAACTAAAACAGCTACAATTCTATTTCTCAATGTACGAAGATTTAAGTCTAAACACATGAAAGCCTGCACAGTTCATTGCTTTAGTTTAAAAATGAAACTGGCAAAAATAATATATATATATATATATATTGTTTGTAGTTTTAGTTTTTATGTTTTTAGTTTTATAATTTCACACCTACCGGCCAGAAAAGCCCACTCTAACAACCATAAAGTGGCCCATGGGCCACCAGTTGATAATGACAATTGTAGCAGGTTTTGTGGCTCTGGACTTTTTTAATTTAGTGAACGAAGTGGCAGAAATTTGGATTGTAACGGTTGCAGAACCCTGTATTAGACAATTGCTTTTAACTGAGTCACTAAGGGGACCAATTAGTGAATTTGAGTCAATATGTGGCTCATTTTTAATTCATCATAACAGTCCAGAACCAATTCTCACTGAAAAGGGTTTTTAGGTTATTTCCTTTTTTTTTTTTTATTATTGTTAGTTTTATTGTTTGATTTGGAAATGCACTCTTCCAAAAGCCCAAGCAAGGACTGGACTGTCATTATCTAAAAGGCCTATGTACAGAAACCATGATAATAGTATTTAATATGTGTTACTGTTGTATATCCACTTCTTTTTACAAATACATTAGAAATAATTTTTACGGTTTCATACGGGCTTTTCTTAAGAACGGTATTTTCTCTGTCAGTGACTCAAACAGGCAGGATCTCAGTGACAGAGAATGTCGATATAATTTTCTATCATAAATATGATTTTACAGATCTAAATTGTGATCTTGAACACATAAATGCAACATGTTGCAGCTAACACAGCTAAGTGTAAGAGCCACTCGTTCATTTGTTCTTAGCTCACGGACTTTACAGCATCAGATTCACCTGAAATGACCTCCGGATTCAATTAGCAGCTCCTTAAAGATGGCAGAAGTGCTGAGTCTGATAACATCTCCTTCAAATGTTGAAGCAGTACGATTCCCATCAGCCCTTGGTGTTGCAGTACGTGTTTAGGAATCTAACTACATCTGCACACATCTGTGCTCAGCATTCACTCGGTATTTTCACAGAAATTGTGTGTTCTCTAGTTGAATGCAGAGTTCGAGCTCTGCCTGACTGTTCCTCCCTGCCTCAGAGTTTGGTGCAACCTCTTCACTTCTCCTTCCTCTTTGCTCCTCCTCAGGATTTGGTGTCGGAGTGCTCCGGCCTCGGTGCAGCGGTGCAGAAAGCTGTCCATGTGCTGATCCCTCCTGTCCTCTGCAGCATCTCAGCACCACCTCTGAACATCCAAGATGGACGACGACGGGCGCTACCGAGACGGCCGCTCGGACTTCATCCGCGGCGCCAAGGACATCGCCAAAGTTGCCAAGAAGCAGGTCGGCAAAAAGATGGGGCGTGGTGTGGACAAAATGACGGACGAGTACACCAAACGCTCCTACAAGCGTTTTGAGGAGGAAGACGATGACGATGATTATGCAGGCGTGCCAAGCGGCGATGGTGGATATTACCGGAATGACAGCCGAGCCAACGACGACGAAGGCCACAGTGACTCCACCGAGGGGCACGATGAGGACGATGAGATCTATGAGGGTGAATACCAGGGCATCCCACGGGCCGACTCGGGTAAGGCCGGAGGGATGGACGGGGTGACGGCTGAGGCGCAGCAGTTCAGGGACCTGTCGGCCTACGAGGGCGAGCGGAGGAAAGACCAGGAGGAGCTGGCCCAGCAGTACGAGTCCATCCTGCAGGAGTGTGGCCACGGAAAGTTCCAGTGGACCCTCTACTTTGTCCTGGGAATGGCCCTGATGGCGGACGGCGTGGAGATCTTCGTGGTCGGCTTTGTACTGCCCAGTGCAGAGAAGGACATGTGTCTATCTGAGCCCAACAAAGGCATGCTGGGTAAGAGTTCCAGATTTACCTTCTTTCCTCCCATTAGATATAAAAATAAAACTAATTCAACGTTTCAGCACTAACAGACACAAATACCAATTAACTGTCTTCTGAAAGTGAAAGACTGATACATTTATTCCCAAGCTGCTCAAGTCCAAAAACCAAAACCTCAGTCTTGTCTGAGTTTAGAATATTAAGGGTCGTCCAGGTTTTTATGTATAAATATAAGTAGCTGATTGGATTCATTGGGTTTCTTGGACAAATATAACTGTGTATCATCAGCATAACAATGAAAAATTACCCCATGCTGTTTAATAACTTTACCTAATGGAAGCATGTATATATATAAGGTAAAGAGTAGTGGTCCAAGTACTGAACCCTGAGGAATTCTATGAGCAAGTTATATATATGAAGATTTATTATTAAGCAATCTGCTGGCTCCCTAGATAAATAACGCTATTAATTGACTTTATATGGATATGCATGTTTCTGTTCAGTGCCCTGAGATTCTGTTGTGATTTAACGCTATATAAATAAACTGAATTGAATTGAATTGGTTGTTAGATATTTATCTAGACTGGTCCTGGGTTTTTTTTTAAATCTGCTCAGAGACTGGATTATAATGAAATTATGACCCGGTTCTGACTGGGTTAAACCGGGCCAGCAACTCTAAAAGAGTTTCCCAGGAATTCAATATCCGTCAAGGACTAGAGTTTATTTCTGATTGCAACATCACGTAGAAAGGCTCTTTGAAGCACCGTCTCATTTTTCCCGTTAACTCACGTAAGATCCGTTGAGATCACACTTAGTCACGCCCCCTCATACACGTGACAGGTTCAGCTCCCCTTCTGCGAAGGGGGAGTCTAGATCCTATAACTGCGTAATGACACGGAACATCGGCCTTCCGGTCCCTGATCCCGTGTCGAATTGTACCTGAGAGGCCAGCTCTGTTACTGTCCTTTTTCCTGCCTCGATTTAATGTAATTAATAAAACTTACTTCACGTCTCCTTGAGTTATTGATAGTGTGGGTTACCGCTTCTGAGGGAGGGGTGAACTGGGAGCCTCAGCGGCTGGAGGTGGGGCCTGGGGGTCCAGAATAAGACCCGCAGGACACACACTGACCAGCAACAGTTTGGTGCCGAAACCCGGGATGAACCAGGGACGTTTAGATACAACAAAACAACAAACTTTTCTTTCAGCTTGTCTGCTCTGGTTTGTCTTTGCGCTTGTCCAAGTGCAGCCGTTTAGGATTTAAGTGCCTGTACAAAAACTGAACAGCAGCGCAGGTGCAGACTGAACTCTCAGGCGCTCCAAACGGTGTCTCCTGCCTCAGCTCGGCTGTTCGCTTGTGTTCCTGCGTCTAAAACAAACTGCGGGGGTTCTTTTTTTTACAACTGTTTGTCTTTCTGTCGAGGGTCTAATCAGGAGGACAATTTAAATTGTGATTTTTAGTTTAAACAAGCGTTTTATATTCAGCACAAAATTTAATGTATGAACAAAAACTGTTTTTTTTTTTTTTATGTAGCTCTATTCAAAATGTTCATGAAGTAAACGGACCCTCAGCTTAAAGGAACGCACATCACCCGCCACTTTTCCTGCCAAAGTCTTGAACAGAAGTCCTGCGCGGTCTGTGCACGCTCTGAGCGTAGGTTGGAGATGACTCACAGCTACTACCACACCAGATTTTAAAACGATAGCTTTTGTGGTTTTTAAGGTTGATTAGCTGTGGCGGCCATTTTGAATCAGGCTGATCAGGCGGTGGGCAATAATGTCTCAAAGGATGGAAACAAACTTGTGCCAATAAAATCAAACTGTTTGGTTTGTTCTTTATTTTAGCCCTGCAGTGTTAAGTTTTTCTGGGTAAAGGAACTCCATTCTGGAGACATGACCCCCCCATCCCATGCTTCTGTTACGTAACAGCCCTGACTCATGCTAAAGAGCCTTATTTTTGCTCTGACTTCTCTGCATCCCATGATTCCTGCTGTTTTCTCCACTGACCCCCACCCTCCTGCTCCATCAGCGCAGTCTGGACACAGTCTTTAACCGGACGCAGTCGGGTGGAAGCAGGCATTGTGCACCAAGTGCACGCAGGAGTGACGCTCGGACTCTGCTCATGTTGGAGCTGCAGAATATTAACACCCCCCTCACACACACACACACACACACACACACAACTAACAGCAGTGAGCTTTTAAGGAATCCCAGAATAAGACAAATACTGTAACAGACTCAACTCTGTCTGCTCCTCGTCTCCTCCATCACAGAGGAGAAGTGTGCTTGAGGATGAAAATTCAAAGCAGGAAGTCCAGAGTGGCTGAAATGAAATGGTGGTGCAGCCAGAGCCCCCTCACAGCAGTTGTCATTGATTTGTCCTTCTCATGAAGCTGCAGTGGTTGCAGCTGCGTGGAGCTGCAGTTTGTTTGTGGCACAGCTCACTGCAGACACAGACAAGCAAATATTCTCAAATGCTTCAAGATCACAGTCATTTCATGGTGTATTCCCACCCTCCTGCTTTAATCTGTAGCTTTGCTGTAATGTGCATCGCCTGGTTGTTGCCGTTCTGTGGCAAGCCCTTTGTGTGTTTATTCATTATCCTTAACATGTAGCATCACTTTTGCCTGCTAGTTTACAGCTACGCTGCACTAGCTGCACATTTGCTTTAGTTCAACACACTCTTACTAGTGAGACTTGTTGCTCAACTAGTTGCAGCAGAAGTCACATTACTCTGCGGTTTTGCTGCAACTAGTTGGCTTTACCACATCAGTGTACCGCTGAACCAAACTAGTTTACAACTATGTCATTCACGTTAACTTGTAAACATCCAAAACTCTTCCTTGTTAAAAGATTTGCAGGCTCAATCATCCAGGTAGATAACACAAAAAGGTTAAATCATTTCATCTGGACCAGTTTCTTCCATGTTAACTAATCAACACAAATGAGACCTCCTGGTTGACTAGTGACGGTCAAACGTGTGGACTACAAGTGAAACTGCTTGATTTGTAAACTCTGAAATGCTCATTGTTTCATACGTTTTCTTTTATTTTACTAGTGTAGCTAATAAATGTCAACAGGTCAATTTGTGCACCTAATTGTTAACTAGTTAACTGGAAAGGCTAAATTTAGTTGCACTTGTTGATTAGTAAGGAGGAAAATATGTTATATAACGTACAGAGCATCTTGACTAGTTAAATTTTTAGGTTGCACTATAGTTGTCTAGTGGTAATAATTTGTGTTGACTCGTTAACATGTAATGGTTGTGATGCTTACTAGTTAACTTGTAAAGCAAAGATGCTAACTAGTTTGATCCAGTGGTCCAATAGCACATTCAAAAGCAACAAGTTGGGATTTTTGGTGATTAATCGGGCAAAAATACTAACGTATGATTTCTGCTTTAACTGGTAACTTAAGGATCTTAATTAAATGTGCAGACAGCTTGCCATACATTTGGAGATGACTTTCAGCTGCTGGTGCTCTGTTTTCCTGAGGCAATCATGAACCTTTCCGTATTCTAATGTGTTCGTGGCCTTTAACTTTGATTTAGTCACTGAAATCAGGGAGGAAGAGAACCAGATGGGATGAAGCAAGATGGCAGAACTAACTGGACCTGACTCATCTACTGGTTCCTGTGGGACAGAGGAGGTTTGGTGTTGTTGACTGCTAGCTACCCACAGAACACCTGTTCCGGCCTCTCTGCATTGGCTCCTCGTGCATTTCAGGAGTCTTTTTTTTTTATTTTGGTCAGGGCACTTCATGGTCAGGCTCCTAAATATTTATCGGACCTTTTAAAGCCTCTCTGTCCCGTCAGGACTTTGAGGTCTTCAAATCAAATGTTGCTGATGGTACCAAGAACTTACTTTAAAGCACGTGGAGACAGAGCATTCCAAGTGGTGGCCCCGAGGCTTTGGAACGCTCTCCATCTGTCACTGAGCTGCTTAGATTCTCTTTTAAAAAAGATCTTAAGACATCTATTCAGTTTTAGTTAAATTTAGTTTACTTTTTCTTTTTTGTTTTGCTTGTGATGTTTGTGATGTTATTGTCTGTGAAAGGTGCTATAGAAATAAAGATTACTAACTCAGCTGAGGGTTGTAGCAATTTTTGGATGACGTAAAAATGGCATTCACTACATATTTGGACAGAAAATGCAAACCAGCTTGGAGTGAATTAAAATATTTAGTTTGTATTTTATAGGAACAGAAAAACAAGTTTTTATCATTTTATTTTATATTCAATTTGTTGTTGCTGTTTTAATATCAAAAACCGACCAGTCTATTTGAAGACGTTTTTCCCTTAATTAATAATCACGTCTTGGATCTACTTAATTTGTCTCTAATAAACTATACGAACCACAGAGCTTTAAGATCGCTGTAATTAAACCTTTACTTAAGAAACATAAACTTGTCTCAGGAATCCTAGACAATTATAGATCTATATTTAATCTAAGTTTCATCTCAAAAATTCTAGAGGAAATAGTTGCTGGTCAGTTACGTGATCATCTACAAATAAATAATCTGAAGAGTTTCAATCAGGGTTTAGAGCTCAGCACTGGATCTGCACTGGTGAAAGTTACTAATCAGATTCCCATGGCCTCTGACAACGGACAGGTGTCTACACTGGTCCAGTCTCCGTGGATTTAAATAATATCTGCAAAAACTCATCATGAATGAAATCTGTTCTGTTCAGACCTGCACATTTTCCTTCCAGACTCAATGAGTAACCTAAAAAAAGTAAAAACCCAGACAAAAATTAATTTTTCAAAGCACTTTTCATTAAAACAACATCTTTTGTTGACTTAAAGAGACCTGCCTGTGGATGTTCAACTCCTTTGTTCTGCCTCCCTCCTGGGATTTTTAATTCAACTACATATTATAAAGTCAGAGCTGCTGTTTTTCAGCGACGACAGACAGAGCTTTAACATTATTAATTATATTATTACTTGTGCTATTTGCTTCTTGAGAACAAGCAGATTGGACTTTTTATGTTAAATTGCTCATTGAGAGAGAAGTGAAGAACGTTGAATCCATTTTTCTGCTCATTTTTTTTACTTTTTATCACAAATCTCTCATAAAATCAGAAAATGTTTACAACGAGGGATGTGACGTTTCCTTCTTAATTAAGATGTGGAACCAATTAGGGATTAGGGAATCGCTCGCTTGCTGTTACCTTTCTGATCACACTGTTATTGATTAGTTATTGTCAGTTCCAGTGAAACCAGTGAAAAGCAAATCAGGGGCTGACTGCTAACTATTACTTCAATCTAAATGTGATCAGGAGTTTAGTTACTGCTTAATTAGCAATTAGTTCTCATTAGTTCCTGCACTTGGAAGCACATTTCTGCATCTTTTATTCTGAGGTGTTTCCATGTGGTAAAGTAAATAAATGGCACATCCTCTGAACGTCTCTGTACAACGTCTCCATACGTCCTCTCAGAGCTGGACCTGCTTCAGTCAATAAATGGATTCCGGTGGAGAAAAAGACGGGAGTCCCGTTAAACCGTCCCGTCATGTTAGATTTGTAGCTCTTCTTGATTGTGCACGAGTGAGTCCACGTGCATTTACAGCAGCCCGCCTGCGACCGGATCAACACGGTAAAGCAACGTGGCCTCAGGAATTTTATTGGATGAAGTTTAGGAGCACCAAATTTAAAAAATGTTACAACAGACCCCGCTCCAAACATTAATGCTCATCTAATAAAATAATAGTGATCATCCATATTTATTGATTTGTTTTATTTGACCTTTATTTTACCAGATTAAGTACAAACACAAGCTGGGATGTGTAGCGATCTGCATTCCTTGAGTCCCGTTTTATTCTTTTGAAGTCACCTCACCTCACAGCTCTTCCTCCCTCCTCCAGGTTTGATCGTGTACCTGGGGATGATGGTCGGCGCCTTCATTTGGGGCGGCCTGGCGGATCGAATCGGCCGACGACAGACTCTCCTCATTTCGCTCTCCATAAACAGCGTGTTCGCCTTCTTCTCGTCCTTCGTCCAGGGCTACGTCTCCTTCCTGTTCTGCCGCCTGGCCTCCGGTGTCGGGTAAGGAGACGGATGAGCCGCACATCTGGAACACGACCGCTGTGATGCGTCAAACTCATCAAACAGCTCAGAAAACACTTTCTGGGTTTGTTTTTCAGTAAACAGTTAAAATATTATTTGTCACGCTCTGATATTTTCTGATGTCTTTCCAAATATACAACCCAGATTAGTAATTTACTGCAGCTGGAAGTGAAGTTTTTATGATTTCTGTGCAGCTCAGGGCCAAATGAGCCATGGAGGGGTTCAGGTCTGGATGGTTGGGGGTGTTAGAGCTTCAGATATGTAATGAAGTTATATTTTTTGCAACCTTCCAAGTGTCATAAAAACACAAAGCAGACCCACACAAGCGATATAAGGATATAACGATTATAACAAATTTCCAAATCTTGACCAAAATCTTTTGCTAACTGTAACTTTTAATGCCTAATAAAGAAGTAGGATTACATCAAAGTGAACACAGAATGAATTTAGAGATGAATATAAATTATAAAATGTGTTTTTAACTCGTCAATTCCCCTTTTTTATCTGTATTACTTGTAGATGAGCGCTGTCTTTGCTCTCCCATCTTCCCCGTCATTTACGTTCCTCCCACGAGCATCGTTCATCTTTTAATCTCCTCCCTCTGTGGACCTCCTTCTGTAACTCTGCAGCATCGGCGGCTCCATCCCGATTGTGTTCTCCTATTATTCTGAGTTCCTGGCCCAGGAGAAGCGGGGCGAGCATCTGAGCTGGCTCTGCATGTTCTGGATGATCGGAGGCATCTACGCCTCGGCCATGGCCTGGGCCATCATCCCACACTACGGTGAGAGAAACAAACATCTCCGGTTCGTCATGACCGAGCTGCAAGTGTTTGTGTTTATCAGGCGGTGAGTCATTTTAGATCATGTTCGGGGTTCTTCAACATGTTCAGCAGTCAGTTTAAAGAAACCCTAAAGTCTGAATAAATGTACTGCAGGAGGTTATTTGCTCTCCTTTCTGCCTCTCCTCCTGCAGGCTGGAGTTTCCAGATGGGCTCGGCCTACCAGTTCCACAGCTGGCGTGTCTTTGTGTTGGTGTGTGCCTTCCCCTCTGTGGCGGCCATCTCTGCCCTCAGCACGATGCCCGAGAGCCCCCGCTTCTACCTGGAGGTCAGCCTGTCCACGCGCTCCCCTCGACGCTCGTAGCAGTCTGTGAAGACATGCACGCTGCTGCACGCCAAATTCAAACATCTGTAACCCCTTAGTGCTAGCAGGAGGAGTCGGGCACGACTCTCAGCTACTACCACTCCAAAGTTTAGCTCAACGTGATTTAGTTCTGCATCTGTTTGTGTTCTGATCTGCTGAAAAATGTGTGGCTCCGTGCTCCCGCTCCTTCACAAGCATTTCTCAGTTAATTCATGGGAATGTTGTGTTAGTAAAACTTTGACACGCTCTTCTACATTTCTCCAGGAAATTCCTGCTTGATACTTTTATTTCCCTCCCCCCAGAACGGGAAACACGACGAGGCGTGGATGATCCTGAAGCAGGTCCACGACACCAACATGAGGGCTAAAGGGTATCCAGAAAGAGTCTTCTCTGTGAGTTTCATTTGTTTGAGCAAACGTCCGTGCACGCACGCAGAAACTGTGTTCCTACAGCAGGTTCTCTCCTCCTGTGGGCGGGAGTTTCCAGACGTGGGGTCTTGTTTTTAACTTTTGGATTATAGAGTGGAGCAGAGTGGGGGGGCGTCTCACCGGACTCTCAGAGTCTTTTGGCTTGAATTTTGAACGTGTTCAATAAGTTGTGCAACAACTTTCCTCCCTGAGTAGTCCCGGAGTCGTTGTAGCATCTTGAGTCCTTCTCAGTTTAGTGTCTGCACATTCCAGACCGGGTACATCTTAGCCTTGTGCCCATCAGAGCCAAAGTCGCAGGTACGATGTGTGCGGAGGTGGACAACAAAATAATGTGCATGGCCAAGAGGCACATTAAAATAGAGCATGATGTTTACACATCTGGAGCGTAAAGGGTTGTAGCTTGGTCGCCAACGTTCAGAATTCAGTGAGAACGCAACAGAAAATTTGCAACAAGGTCGCAGGTTCAACTTTAAACTGTGGGTGGGAGAGGTGAAGCACCTACACCTGCTTCCACCCCCATTTGCCCCACACTGGGCCCTTGAGCAAGGCTCTTTACCCCCACCATCTGCTCCCCCGGGCGCCCTCGATGTCAACTCCCTGCTCCCTGGTTGCGTCAGGAAGAACTTCCGGAGTAAAACAATCAAGTCTTGGAGCGAGCTGTGCAAACCTGCTTGATATAAAATATGACATTCATCTAACCTCAATAAACATTAGAATATTGTGACAAAAATATAATTTATTACTCTTTCTGCAATAATGAGGACCATCATTAAAATACTTGCCTGTGTTTATTAATAATGTGTATCAATAATAATAAATATAAATCTGTTAATTCGACAATAAAGTCTATTTGTTTTTATTCTGTAGATTTGGGGAACCTTTCAAAAAAGCTAAATAAGGAATAAGAAATGTTCAATAAACAGAAAAATAACGTGGTCAATGAACGGAGGGCTGTCTGACTCCAGGTGACGACCATTAAGACGGTGAAGCCGATGGACGAGCTGGTGGACGTGGGAGACGGAGCTGCCTGGCACCAGAAGTGGAGGATTAAACTCTCCACTCTCTTCCATCAGGTGAAGACACATTTGAGTTTTTTTTATTTTAACGAATCCTAATTTAATTTAGTCACGTTTCAGTTGAAAAATAGAGGATGAATGCAGAGTAAATGTAAGTTCCCTCAGTACTGAGCGCTCGTGGTGAGTGTTTGAGATGTTTCAGTTCGGGTTTGTCTCCTCCGAACGGTTTCTGGACAGAATCTATTTGTTCCTCAGCTGACAGTTTGCTTTCTGACAGCACATTTTTACTTTATTCCTCTGCGCTTCTGATTTATTTTAGGTGTGGAATAACTTCCAAACCGTTTTCTCTCCCGAGTACCGCCGCACCACCTACATGATGATGGCCGTGTGGTTCTCCATGTCCTTCAGGTAGGACCGCGCAGTCATCGGCATATTCTGAAACTTCTCCTAATGGCAGTTTCTCTGTTGGTAATACCAAAAAAACACAAGGAAAACTAACATGTATTTAATATCCCGCTCATCTTCCTCCATGAGAATCTGTGAATTATCAAAAACAAATAAAACTTTCAACTTTAGCTTTTAAAAACTAAATTAAACAAAGAAAAGTAAAATTCTCCTCCAGCTGTTTCTTATTCAGACCTTTACAGTCTTTATCTGCATCTGTCACGTTTTTGAGATATGTTGCTGCCATAATGTTTAAAATGACCTTATTTCTTTCTTTAAAGTGATACAATTTCTTAGTTTTAACATTTAATTTGTTTACTATTTACCTTTTAGATAAAATGTGGGGTTATGACATTTGCAAACTGTTTTTATTCACGTCTCAGCATTTTCAGGAATGATATTGTTCAGTGGACTTAATTTTGTGTAAATTAAAAACAATAACTCGTTATTGCAATTTGCCGTATTTGTAAGAATTATTCGTATCCTATAAATGTTTACATTTTACAGTTAAGGCACATAAACCAAAGAAAGCAAATAAAGATGGATGTGAGTCTACTCGCACCGGGCAAAAGTGAAACCAGAAGGTTTGGATTACTGGAGCGGCCATATTGTATTTTTGTAGCCAGACTGTGCACACTTGAGATGTGAGGCTGAAGGCCTCACCTACCCACCTGCACTCAATCAGTAATCTTTTATAAGCAACAGATAAATAATTACGACTAATTAAAGAACGTTTTTATTTGAACGTACAGCAGCAAGGAAAGAGCAGCGTGAATAACAGAAGCTAACTTTTAGAAAAGTTGTCTAAGGTGTATTTTGGTTTGAATTAAATGTCCCATCTGTCTTTGTAGAGGGACGAGGTTTAAACGTGAGACTGGGTTCAGCCTCTAGGGGGGGGCGGGGCTTGTTTTGTTTAGGCTTCAACTTCTGAGTTCTGTTCCAGTGTCCAGTCTCCTGTGGTCGATGGTAGACGTATGAATGTGGCAGAACATCAAAACGATCAATTCAGATTCTGTGTTTGGAGTTATCTTTTTTGTAAACAAGTCCTCCGTCACACCATAACTAAAGTCACAATCAGATCTCGTTCTTGAACCTTCAGCCACCAGAACTCAGGACTACAGCAGCAGCGTCTCTGACTCTTGTCTTCTTTGTCCAGCTACTACGGTCTGACGGTGTGGTTCCCCGACATGATCAAGTACCTGCAGAAGCAGGAATACGCCTCACGCACCAAGGTTTTTGTCAAGGAGAGAGTGGAACACGTCACCTTCAACTTCACGCTGGAGAACCAGGTCCACCGTCAGGGCCAGTACTTCAACGACAAGTGAGTCTGCTCCATTTCCTGTTGACGTGGAACTCCAAAGACCTGGTCGTTTTCTGGTGATAAGGAAACAGAAATGAAACTTAAACCTTTTTTGATTCTTTGAACTTATGGAGCCTTTATTGTCTAACAATGTTTATTTAAACCTCTTTGTGTCTCCTTCATTCTCGTGGGTGTTTGTTTTTGCAGGTTCATGAACATGAAAATGAAATCGATGGTGTTTGAGGACTCTCTGTTTGAGGAGTGTTACTTCGAGGACATCACTTCCAGCAGCACCTTCTTCAAAAACTGCACCTTCATCGCCACCCTCTTCTACAACACCGGTAGGAAGCACAGACTGAAATACACACTGTAACACAATCTGTAACACACTGTAACACACTGAAACACACACTGAAATACACACTGTAACAACTCTGTAACACTCTGTAACACACTGAAACACACTGAAACACACACTAAAATACACACTGAAATACACACTGAAATACACACTAAAATACACACTGAAATAAACACTGAGACACACACTGAAACACAAAC